TCTACATTATTTGGCATATTGATTTTTATAAATACATATTATAATTTTAAAGAGTTCAAGGAAATATAGAAAAAAGAGAGAAATAAATAATTTGGAACTAAAATATTAACGTACTATTTAAAACATTTAAATCAAAAATAATATTTCAAAAATATAATTAAAAAATGTAATAAATAACTAAGGCCGTAGCTACGTACATTCTTTTATGTTTTGCTAAAGGGAAATACACAACAAGTTTTTAATAGTTATATGATTCTATATTCGATTCTATGGGATTCTAATTAAAGTTCATATGTAGCCGCTTATATGAATTCTATCACATTCTTTCTATTCACACATTATCCTTTGTAAATCCTTTACATCATTTACAATATTGATTGAAAATAAAAATTTAAAGTAGACAAAACAAAATTATTAAATTAATAAAACTTAACAAAATATTTAAATATGGCTCTCAAGGTAAATCTGTTTTCAATATTTTACTATATTATAATTTATTATCTAATTAAAGCTTATGCTTCGGGGCCCGCATTCAATTGTGCCCAAATTTATGTGCCCAGCCACAAAAATTGCGTAAATATTAATTTCTCACCTATGCGTACGCATACTTACGGCCAGGTAAATCATATTGTCTGCTGTCAAAAACTGTTTAATACTCTTTATGTACTGTACGCATACATGTGCATATGTATGTAATTAAAAACTTTTATTTCATATTAATTGCATTGAAAGCCGCCTCGGCCACAGGCAGTTTATCAACAGGCAGCTCATAAATATAAATGAGCACAATTTTTATTATATATTTTTCGAATTTTATTTTTTTTTTCTTTGCAATTTGTCGCGCACAAAGCAAATTTTATTTTAATTGAAAATTATGCCATGGCATTAACATTAATCGCAAATTGATGGCAAAACTCAAACCGAAGCGAACCGAAACGATCCTCGGCACAAAATTTAAGGAAATACCTCAAAGCAATTGAAGGCGTAGTTTTGTTATTGTTTTATATACTCTATTGCCAACTTGTTGGCCGTCAGATTTTAGCCTCAATCAAATTGCGAGCCGGCATTATACTTCTTTTTTTATTTTTGGCTTATCGCTTTTGTGCCATTTGCATATGTCAGCTGGGCGGCTATTTGTTGGCTCTTTGCTTGGCCAACAGCCGCGCATAAATTGTTTTCTCATGTGTGCCAAATATTTGACTTACGCGCCCAGTAAAAATAAAATATCCGGTCGTTACGCCGACTGCACAATACTCTGTTCCCAGCTGAAAACAAGTTAAGTGTTATAGATATCATCAAGACTTTACTATCAAAGAAGAGTAATTCTAGTTTCAAAATCATATTCATATTCTACAGTCGATAAAAATGTCTTCTGGTAATAGAAAATGGGTATAAAGACAACCTGCTCATTTTTATACAGTTTAGTTAGGTTTACTCTAGGAAAACCTCTTAAGTTGTGAATATGACAGATCCCGATTGAGCTGGGGACACATAAAAAACTTGAGTGTTTAAGCTTGCAAAGTTCAAACATTTGGCTTAGGTAAAACCAATTTACTCTCTTCACACTGCACGAACAGAGTATAAACAAAAATGTACGCACAGGTAAATCTCCCTGCACGTGTGCGTGTGGACGGGGCCCGCTTTTTGTTATCCGCCCATAAATCAATTAATTTTGCGAACATGCAAATGCAATTGTGCAGCGCCACCTGGCGACAGTGGTGGAAACCTACAACGCCGCGAACAAGTGACAACTGGAGGCAAAGTTTTATCTGCTTGTCAAATGTGTACGACAAATAAACGAGCATCTAGCCTCAATTTATAGGCTCAACTATGCAGTTATTGCAGTCATATATCAGCCAGGCTTTATCTCAGACATTTTGTTTCATAAAAGTTTCCGTTTCGCATTAACCAGATATTGCTGCATGTATATATTGAACGACTTTTGCCAGAGTCTCATAAATTTGTTTTTCCTACCAACGCTGCATAAATGAAAATCATTTGCATACTTATAAGTAGATGGCAAATGTTTTGACATGCTGTTGTTGCTGCTGTTGAGTCTCTGCTCGTGGCGGATGTGCGCTCGAAGATCAAACAACAGACCGTTAGTTACTTCGAGTCGTTGCATCAAGTATACGCGCCGTTGCCCGCCGCTATTTGTGAATGGTTAATGCGATTGGGTTAGCTGTACATCAGTTAAGAGATTTGCCATTTGCATGGATGGTCCATAGGATGAGACATCAACTTTACCAAGTCAATTGTCGTGACTGCTTGCATATAATTAATTATAAGCCAGCAATTAATTATCTTTCAATAGAGATAAAAATAGATTTCTGTTTCCCACTTAAAAAATTAAGTTGGCTTTAAGCATCTTTTGACCCAGTTTTGTTTACAGAACAAACAGACAAACTGTTTTACACTTAATTTATCTATCTGAATTGTTAATATTTTTTAGAATGTCTTAAAGATACCTCCATTACCAAAAAGTTTATCCTAGTTACACAAACTATTTCCTTCGTTATTTTAAATGCACCCTTTAGCAGCTAAATATCAACATTATATATATTGCATTAACATAAATTCTAACAGCTTAACATGAGCATGCTTTCAACATTTGTAAAACAATTATACATCCATCGAAACAAATCCTTTGATCAAAAGCTAACCAACTTTTATTAACATGAAAATCGCGTCTTGGGACAACTTGCTTGTTTGTTTTTATTTTTTATTTATTTGTTATTCTGCAATTAGCATTGCATTTTGTATCGTGATGTCACTACAAATTTATGTCTAGACTTCACAACAAGATTGTTGTTTCATGCGGCCCTCACAGCATTGGCAATAGTTTTACATGCAGTTGCCCCCACTGAAAAGTATCATAAAACATCACAAATGTAATATATCTGACTTGCAAATACAAAAATTATACTTATTTAAGAGAAGACTGCACGACTAGCAGTTATCCTTTGTGAATTATAAATTATGTTAACTCATATTTCCCCAGTTCAACACTAGAGTGGCTTAAATTGGAAATAGAAAAGGAAGTTGATATGCTGTTAAATAGATAGATAGATAGATCCCTTAATGGTCAAACATTTCTGCGGGCATTTGTGATCATTTGGAGTTTTTACTGGGAAACCGTAACTCCGGGACATTTCTTTAGCAGAATAAACACACATAGCTACATAAATATACATACATACATATATATATTCAGTCCATATATCATTGCCATTCACACACTTTAACATAAACATTGACACGATCTGTAACATTATGGATTATTCCTGATAGATAAAGATCTAACAGAAGAAGAGAAACGGAGGAGTGTTCAGTTCTCAGAAAATCGCTTCGATCTTCTACAGTATTTATTTCTTTATTTTTAAATGTTATTAATGCTGTTATCATGTGAATGTTCTGTCATTATTGCTGTTATAAACTTGAACTGCTTTTGATATCTAAGAATCTAGATTTCAAATTTGATACCTCCAGTTATTTGACATTTTTTATATAAAATCTCTAATATATATAAATATGATCATATGTACATAGTGTCATATCCATATTGGGTATAAAATGTCTTCTATGTTGAACAAGATATATATAGCCGTACTTAACCCTTTATTAGGTAAACTCTATTGATAGGGTATGAAATACAAAACAATTGTCAACTGTTTGACATTTTGCCTCTCACTACTCTCAGCTATTGTTGTTGTTGTTTTAGTTGTTGCTGCTGTTGTTGTTGCATTTACTGCATGTGGGCAATAACTATGCAATCATATTAAATGCAATGCTAATGCGGCTGTTAATTAGACGCAAACCGAACTCTCGCACCTAATCTAAATGGCAAACGCGAATATTAAAGCTTACTTAAGACTGCCGACTGCCCCACTCCACCTCCCTCAGCACAACGTCCGCCAACGTCCCTTGCCACATGGAATGTCGTGCAGTCGATTGTAATGGGTGCGGACTGTGCCAACCTTCAAATTTCGTGAGCTACAAAGATTGTTGCTGTTCAAATGTCAAAGGTGAAAAAGAACTTCCCTGACAAATTATGAATTGGATTTGGATTTGGTTTTGGTTTGGGTTTTGGTGGTTGGAATTGGTGTTGCTTGATGCGAAAGTCTCGCATGTGATGGCAGCAGTTGCACAACCGACTTGACAGAGATTTGCGTGGCACTCATAAAAGGCAGGTCGCCGATGTTGCAAGTCGTCTCCTCTGCCCCGTTGGCCTCTTGCTATTAACTAAATAAATCTCAACATGACGACGCGTTGACTACTTGACCATAAATGTCAAATACGCAGGCCGCGCGCGTTTCGCACGCGGTTTTTTTTGGCTTGCAGTTTATTTTGGTGCTTCTACCCTTTGCCGTGGGTATATTACTTTTGTCATGGCGAGAAAAACATAAGTTGTTGCTGCATCTTTATTTAAAGTCAAACGTTATACTTTGTCTGTTCCTTTGTAAAAATAATCTTCCATTTTGTTAGATATGTATATCGGCATGCATACGACTTTTTGCATAAGGTAGTATATATGTCAAAGTCGACCCAATAGGATTACTATGTCATATAGCTGACATGAGAGCCAACAACTGGTTATGATTCTTTACAAAAGCATTTTTTTTTTGTATTTGTAGAAGTCTTAATTAAAACTCACAAAAACTTAGAAATGTTGCATCAAATCATTGATTTGTTTTTTTTTTTAAATTATTTATATATTGTCTGCAAGTGTATTTATTATTCGGCCCACCAAAATTAATATTCCCATATTTTTTAACGCCTGACACATCAAGGCGGCAGTTACCGCGTACCCGCCCTCCGTGTGTGTGTCATGTAATCTGCTTGAATTTATTGCGTTTAGCTTGCGTTTTGCTGTAATTCGATTTGGTTGCAACAAAAGCAACAACTGCAACAACAACAAAATCCGCTAGCTTTAATTTATGTTCTGCCTGTTGTTGTTGTTGCATAAACATTTATGATTTATAAGCAACTTGGCGACTTACCCGTAAACAGCAAATATCCACAAAAGACGATCAGCACAGCGAACGTGAGCCTTGGCAACATGTTGCTAAACGCGAATGTTGCCAGTTAAATGATGTTGCTAAGCTGGCTGTTGCTTGATTTGTTGCCGTTGTTAATGTGTTTCTTTTGACCTTTTGACAAAGCAAACACAGTCCAATCAGCCAGGCGACAGACAACAAATCCACTTTCCAATCCAATCTACGAGCCGCAAGGTAAAAACCGCGCCTAAGTAAACGCGCGCGACTTAAAAACGCGTGCAATTTTTTAAGCTAGTTGAATTAAAAAGCGTTTAAATGTTGTTTATTTTGTTGTATTTTGAATTAGCTGCAGCTGCAACATAAATTTTGGTGGCAATTACACGGCTTGAGTTTTGCTTGCCACACCAAGAAAAAAGTAAAGCGTTTTGTGTGTTAAATTTGCATTGAGTTGGCCCATAAAAAAATCAGCTAGTCGCTGTTGTTGCAGTTGCCTAATATGTGGCACAAAGTAGCGGGCGGGCGACTGTTGTTTGCAGTTGCAGTTGCCGCAACAGTAGCAGCAAACAATAGCACACGAGTATTTCACTAGTCACACACACTTTAGCACACATACACACAGAAGCACACACGGTTAAACACACATCACAAATTTGATATTTGTTGTTATTGTTATTATGCTGTTGCATATGTATACTTTGTCTCCAGCTGCCAGACAAGAGTTGTTGCATGCAACACTGCTTAATTTAGTGGCAAATAATATTGTTTAGATATTATATACTTTTAAGCCAATTCCAGTTGTCGCGCTCAACGACCGTTCGCTTGGCGTTTTCAGCTTCAACTGATTTTGTGTTTTTCAATTTTTCAATTGTCTTGGCTGTATTTTTCGCAACGAGCATCCACAGCAAGCAAGCTTCACTCACAACTTGAGTCGAAACTTGAGTCGCTTTTGCTTTGAGCCTGGCCCCCAACTCGTTTGTCGTGCCTCCAAAATAAAAAAATTAAACAACAAATCTTGTCGCTCAGCTGTGCTCGGTTTTAATTGTGCTAACTAGACTTGGCCTTACGCAATTGCAAATCAAATTAAATCAAAGCGCCTGATGAGTCACACACGCACACACACACAGCTAGTGAGATCGGAGAGACCCTAGTCTCAACCTTCGCCTCGAGTCGCAACGCGTCGTTAGGAACCTAACAAAATAAATAATACTTTACCAAAATATATGAATCCAAGTCGCGGCTCTGCATCATGTAATTAAGAAGTTTTTTTCCGTTTTGGCCAGAACTGAAAAACCTTAACTTCGTTGCTTAGAAGGCCTCCTTTCATTTTGTACTTCTCTATAAACATAGTATACATACATACATATATATATTTATAATATTGTTTTTGGCTGCTGCTAATCGATGCTAAAGTGGAGCGTCGAGCATCTTGTATGCAACTCGCGTTGCCGCTGACCTTGTGGCCAATTTTGTCATTGTTATTGTTCTTGTTGGCTGATGCTGCCACAGAACCAGGGATAATATGTCTCCAGACGCTCCATAAAAAACCGGCACCTGAAAGCAGTTGCTTCTATTTGCCAGGGCAGGAGTAAATGTAAGCGGAGGGAATTTTATATTTATCACTTAATAAAGGCTTGTCGAAGTCTTCTACCATGTCTAAAAGTATATATTGCATACTCGATCTGTATAGCTATAGGGCATTGCCTGTCTGCACATAAGATTCTTCGTGTTAGATCTTCAAACTCATAAGTTACAATCTATTCAAAATTAACGACCATATTGATGGTTTGTGCTGAGCGAGGGCCTACTGTAGCTCTAACAAACGGTTAAGCCACTTTTGTGGCTTGGTACACACTTGCCAGCCTCTGCCTGCCCAAGGGTATTAAATCTTCGATATTTCAAGCTCTTTCCAATCCCGACACCTTTTATTTTTTGTGAGCTTTCAGTCTGGAGCGCATTTTGATGTGTATTTAGCCTGATTTATTTTAGGCGCCTGCCACGCTGACTAGCATGCCTAATTAGCCTGGTTTATTTTCGATTTTAGACAGGAACAACTTTCAAGGCCTCTCACAATTCGCATAAATCATAATCACATTAGGCAGGGGCTGGGCTGGGGCGTGCACAAAACACAACTTTTGCTTCCACGAGTCGCCCACATCAGATCATTAAAATTAAATAGCACGAATTATCTATTATATAAACAAATAAAAATTACAAATAGCAAAAGTTGATTTCTCATTACAACTCTGAGGCACGCACCGCAAAGAAAAAGTGCTCTAGTTGGGAGTGCCTGACTAAAAGATGCCCTTAGCGCTGGTCGAGCTGCCGCTACAATCATTTTAGCTTTATTCTATACATAAAGAAACACGCTTCTTTCCTTAGACCCATCCTATGGAAAATATGTTCTTGACTAACTTGGGTTTTTATTGTGCGATCCTTATGAAATTTTCAGGACATAAATATATCATCCGAATATGTTTAAATGCCCAGGCTCAAGATAATTTTCATACCTAGAATGATGTCTCCAGCTCTTATAAACTCCGATATGTGCCAAAAAACATATCGATTTCACGAAAACAAAACAAGTCATCGCTGATATACAGGGAGCTGCGTTCAAGGTCTGAAGTCTCCCGAGATCCATTTACCATTCATATTTTGTATAGAATATACTGCTGCATACATTTGTGCAAAACCATTATACCCTTCTTAAACATTTTTAATGGGCAGCATGCGCAATGCGGCGGCTAACGAGGTGGCTCAAAGCGCCAGTAAATTGTCCGTCCGTAATTGATAAACTGGCCAAATGTAGTGGCTTTGCGATTGAATGAGTTACTTAGTTACACACACACACACACACACACACACACACACATACACACACTCTTCAACATTTTGTGCAGCCGAAATTGCGCGCAATCATCTTTTACTTATTTAATTTTTATTTTATTTTTAATTTTTACTATTTCAATTGCTTGCTAATTGTTTTAATGGGCGCTAAATGCAGCTGCTTCAAATTAAGAGCGAATTATTGGCAACTAAAATAATTAAAGCCCCCAACTTTTTAGTATGCGCTTCCTCAGTGGTTTTATACCAAACGTTTTGCCGCAAGGTTGCTTTTCGTGTGCCCCAAACGTTTCAATGGTCGTTTTTATAGAGCTTCCGACTGTGACGACAGTTGTTAAATACATCAAAAGAAACGCAGCTGCTTCTTTTTTAGAGCGAACGCGTTTCTTAATTTTTAAAACAAACAAAAGTCTATCAGAAAGAATTCCCCATACTAACAGCATCTTAAGTTATAATTTCTTTAAGATTTTGTTTCGTATTTATAAAACAAACAAAAATCTAGTACAAAATATTCCGCAGTCTTTAAATGTGAACATTTCGGAGTAAGTTTGTTTTAGGACATGAAATCAAGTAAAAATCTTAAGTTATAAAAACTTTTTGAAATAGCAGCAAGATCTTTTAAGAATTTTGTTTTGAGCTACAAAAAAGTTCATGGCAACTATTTGGTTTATTTCAGAGGAGCATCTTAATTATTGTTATTGGTACAAGTAAGAAATATGCAATTGTTTTACTCATATGTGTACTTTTTTTTTTAACCATTGCTAGATGATTGTACGATAGGGTATTTGTGTTTCGTATATAGCGGAATAGTTACGTTATTTTGACAATAACCAAGAATTCTTATAGCCAAGAGCGCATTGACTTCAATTGTTGCGTGCTTGCTGGTCAGCCGAAAGCATAAAAGCATAGGCTCAAGTCTCGAGATTTGAGTGCCTAGATATTATTATTGTTACACTTTTAAAGCCACACTCGACAAGTTCTGAAAAGCCTGACAGACTGACTGACTGACTGACTGACTGACTTATTGGCTGACTGACTGACTCGCTGTTGCCGTAGGAAGTGTGTGTGTGTGTGTCTGTTGCGATTACTTTGAAGTGCGCACCGAAATTGCAGATTATTGAGAAAACTATTTTCGATGCTGGCCATTAAAACTAATTGGCAAGCAGCTGAGAACGCTTAAATCTCATATGTATTTATGGCCAGCAATTAGGTCGTGCCTATTAAAAATTGTATGAACCCAAAGCCATAGAGCATATCTCATTGCGTGTATGCCCCTCCGGCGACTCTGGCTGGGACAAGGTCAAGTGTAAATTGATTTGATCTCGACTCGTGTCGTTGCGTCGCGCACTTTAAATGCATGTGTAAAACAATTTATACATTTTGGCTGCCCTGCCCCCCAATAAAAAAAAAAAACGTTTCGTTTTAATGATGTGCCAACGTTCCAATATGGCACTCATTTACACATTCGCCCCGATCTAAGATCTCCGATATCAAAGCCTGCTGCCATTTATGGTAGAACCGAGCGATTGGCGCGAACTTGCCTGTCATCTGCAACAAATCAGCTGTCATAAGCCCAAAGCAGCGACTGCATTTTCATTTTTGTATGTATACATTTTTTTTTTTTGGTGGTTTTTACAATCACTTTCAAAAGTCCCACAACAACAATAACAATAAAAGCAACAACAATAAGACTACTCCGGCCAGCTGATGCTTGACTGGGAGATACCCTTTAACCAGCTGTGAATTTCCTTAATGTACCTTCATGCTCAGGCGTACTTTAAACAAATACAAGCTTTGAAAAATTGCTAAAACTTCTGCTGTTATAGGAAAAATAAAATCTATTTGTTAAGTTGAAGCATATATATAAAAAAAAAGTTTGAATAATTGTATTTATTCATTCTTGTATAATAAGCAACTTTAAAAAACTTGATGCTTGAAACACATTTCCACCCGGGTTGATGGGATTTACTGAAGAGCGTGAAATGCATCCCGAATGAATTTTCATATTTGACTTTGTTTTAAACCCCAAACGTCGCACATAAAGCATTTGAGCGGCGTTTGTATCCAAAATGGGTCGATTTTCCAAAATCTGCCAAATTTCTTCTCAAGTTAATTATCTTGCAAAATGAGTTTGAATCCAATCGTGTGATATAATCAAAAGTCTCATGAGCTATCATCTGAGATATACTACAAATTTCTGGTTCTCAGCTTACCCTATTAATATTATATAATATATTTATATATATTGTTATGTATTTATGGATTTGAGGGCATTATGCCAAGTTCATAGATGCTAGCTCAAAGAGTTACCGAGCTGGACGCACTCAAACAGACAGATAGACAGGCAGACGTGACTATACGGACTCAGTTTAGTTCTTGGTCAAGAATATACATGTACATTTTATAAATCTCAGATATAACAACATGCACAATAGAAGGGTATATTCAAATCTCTCATTTACAAATATGGTATAATATATATTATACAATATTATGCTGTTTATGTAAATTTCCAATTTGAATATACCCTTCTCATAGACAACTTCAATGGGTATACCCTGTATACATGAAGACAAGTGTATCTAACCAACTTGCTGATAATGATCATTCGCCGAAGAAGCATTGAGAAATGCACAATTAAAAGTGGCAACTCGAGTGGTGCTCGCCATTCACCTGCAGCAGGCAGGCAGGCAACAGCCAGGCAGGCGGCTGACTCTTGTAGTCACCTCGTATCATTAGAATGTCTTTTAATGGTGATGCCCCCAACTCAGCTCTTCCAACTCTATTGCAGGTGGTGAAGAACACGAAAGACAAACTTGGCAACTGTGCCGCTGAAACGCTGGACAACATCACCGAGCGTTTCCGGCTGCTGCATGGCCAGCTGCAGAATGCCCAACTGCAGGCCATTGAGATGCTGCGCGAGTCCAGCCTGTCGCCGCAGGTGCAGCTGAATATGGCAATGAGCCAACTGAATGGCTATGAGACGGTTCTAAAGGTGAGCAAAGCGCCGTCCCTCCCAGATTACAATCTACTTATATATATGTATTTTACATTTATCTATTTAATTTAAATTGTCTACTTTTCCCTAGAACCTACGCCAAATCCTGCACAGCGGTATTAATGATCGTTTTGAGGTGCCGCAGGATATTTGGCTCAAGGATGTTATTGTGATCATCACTGAGCACCTGGAGAAAATACCCACCTATGTGCAGGTTACCAAGATCAACAACAATCCCTATCAGTAAGTGTGAAACAATAAGATTCTTTTTTATATTTATTTATTTATTTTACCTATTTATATTACCTTATAATAATAATATTAGTGTTTAAAGAAAGAATTCGTCTATACCTTATAGTTCACATATTTTCCGCTGATCTTTTTAAATTTTAAAAAATGATCTAATAAAAAGGTTAAACTTAAACCCTATTTGTTTCAAATTTTCTGAACTGTTTTGTCCTCTGACAGCTTAAACACCACCAATAATCTATCGGAACTGATTGAGAAGCATTTTGAGTGCCACTTTGTGGACCCCCAAATTAAGGTGCGCTTCAATAACGAGTACGGTCATCAGAGCATCATCTCGGACAGTAGCCAGCCGCACAACTCGCTCGACTCGAGCGTGAGCAATTCCTGGCCGGACCAGAAAGCAGCTCACCCGAATCCTGCTACGGGCTCAGCACACGGCAAAAAGCAAAAGCGTCGCCCCAAAGAGATCAAAAGCAGCTGCAGCTCAATGAATAGCAACGTTGTTGAGCAACCGGACCAACAGCACAACTTTGTGCACACATTCTCTGCCATGGATATCAGCAAGTCGAATTCGATGCAATCCGCATCCAATAATCTTTTGAATCATATGGGCGACTGGTTCCACACTGATGCAATGGTGCGTGTCCGTTCGATTCAATCCCCGGAGGATTTCTACGTGCAGTGCATCAATGCGGCCCAACGCATACGCGAGCAACTGGAGGCATTTGCCGAGACGCCCGACTGCAAGCCACCAGATGTCATTGTGGTGGGTCAGCAGTACATCACGTGCCACAGTCAAACCGAAATGGATCGCTGGCATCGTGCACTGGTCAGCCAGAAGGCGGAAATGCGTGATATCTATAATGTCTTCTTGCCGGACATCGGTCTCTCCCATATGGTGCACAGCAACAAGTAAGCTAATCTTTGCTTTTAAATAAATTCATCTCAAGTTAAACTCAAATCACGTGCAGCTTCCGTCGCCTGCCCGACCATCTGGCAACGCTGCCGTATGCCGCCGTCCACTGCAGCCTGAAGCAGCTGATGCCGAGCAATGGCGGTACCGAATGGGAACCACAGGCGGGCGCCTTTCTCAAACAGATGGTGCAAAAGTACGTTTAACAGTTTTAAATTTATCACTTGGCTAGAAATTGATAGAATAACTGATTGGGTGACTGACTGATTGATTAAGGAACTGACAGAGTGATCGATTAATTAATGGACTGATTGATTAATATATGAACTGACAGTCTGGTTGATCAGGCATTCAGATAGTCTGGTTGATTCAGACTGACTGATCGTTTGATGGACTGATTGATTAATTTATAAACTGACATAAGTTAGGTTAAGTTAATGGATTAACTAACACTTATGTTGATTGATGATCCTGATTAAGTGATAGAGACATTGATTGAAGATGGATTAACTGACAGGTTCATTGATTAATCGATAAGTGGACTTATTGTTGGATAGACTGATTGATTGATAAGCCATTCCAACTTATTAATTACTAATTAACAGGCTGGTAAACTGACTTATGTACGTACTAACTAATTGTGTGATTGACTCGTTGACTGATTGATTGAGGAGGGATTGACAGACTAATTAATTACTTGACTAACTGACTAATATATGGATTAATTGTCTGTTTATAACATTGTTTGATGCTCAATTGACTGACCAATGAATTAATTGACTGATTCCCTAATTGACGGGTGGACTCGCTGATAAATTTAATGATTTACTGAATAATTGACAGACTGGTCTATCATTTGAGTATAAAGAATAAAAAGGGATGAAATCCCGATTGCCTTCCTTCTATCTAGAATTTAAAATATTTTGTATATTCAATTTCATCCGCTAGCAATCCAGTGCACGTTACTGTTATGCGCGCCTCGGGATCCCAGTTCTACGAGGTGGATCTGATCATAAACAACTACGAGTCAAACATTTCGGTGCGTGAATCTTTTTTATACACAGGCATGGCCCGTGCACGTGGACTTGCCGCCGCGCAGGTTCCGCAACCACAACAGTTGATGGCGTTGCAATCGCAGAGATTGCCGAAATTTGTGCCCCATGTGGGGGATGTGCTAATAATCCAGATGCTCCATGTTGAGCATCCGCAAGAGTTCTATGTAATGCCGCACGAACTGGAGCTGAAACGATGCACTCTGCAGCGCGAGCTGCAAGGCTTCATGGATCACCTGAGTCTCAGCCAGCTGGAGCCCATCTATTTGGGTCGCCTTCAGCTGAGCTGTGTGCTACAGTCGGAGGGTCAATGGCAACGCGCCTGCATTGAGCATATGCTGCCCGAGGGTGAGTTATGATCGGCAGCCCAATTGGCCAGCTCCGCAACTGATGTTTACTTTTCTCTCGCAGGTTATGTGCAAGTACGTCTGGTGGACAGCGGCATCTCGCAGAAACTCTACTGGGATCAGCTGTTTATGCTGCCACACAAGTTCTGGACACAAGAGCTGGCCATCAAGTGTCGCCTAGCCGATGTGGAGACACTGCAGGCGCATAACTATGCTTGGACACCAGCTGCAATTGACGCGTTCAAGCAGCTAACATCGAATCCCAAACTTCAAATGGAGGTGGTCTATGTGCGCGACAAGGTGGCCCATGTCGCGATCCATTTCACGCGCAGCGGCAATGAGCAAAACAATGTGGGCGCCATGCTGGTGGCCCAGGGTCATTGTCAGTCCAGTGGCGAGAGCAGCAAAGTAATTAAGCCGCAGCCTGGACGATACTCACATCTAGATGCGGATACCCGCAAATTGATTGAAGAGGCCAAGTTGCAATTGCAGCCATCGATGCCTGCCAAGACGTTAGATAGACAGAATCGCTCACAAATCGACGTGATCTACGTAGAGCATCCGGGTGAATTCTATGTGACGCTCACACATTTCGTCTCGGCCCTTGCTAAGCTAAGGAAGACCGTACAGGTAAACGCCGACGAAATGTACCAGACCCATCCGCCCAAGCAAAATTGGCAGCCGGGTGATAAGTGCTTTGTGCGTGTCATGGCCAAGGGGGATCTGGAGCTGCTCTGGCATCGCGGCCAGATTGTTGGACCTACCCAAGGAGCCAACTCCAAATACAATGTGCGTCTGCGCGACATTGGCGAAGTGGCCCTGGGAGTACCTACCAGCAGCCTGGCCATCATGGATGAGGTTCTGGAGCGCGTCAGCAACAGCGCCTTGTGTTGTCGTCTGTATGGAATCATTCCAAATGGCGCTGATTGGTCACCGGAGGACATTGAGTTCTTCAAGACACAGCTACAGGCTTACAGTACACTGCATGTTATCGGGCATGGGCGCGATGGTGGTTGCACGCGTGTCACTCTGTGGGGCGGACACACCGAAATCAGTGGCCCCTTCTCACCGGCACGCATCAAGTATACGAACATCAATGAGCTATTTTTGCAGAAAGATCGGGCTTTAAGCGATCCACTGATTTTACTGCAACAGGATCTGCCATTGTTAGCCAGCAGCAGTAGTCGCAGTAGCTCGAAGGGGGAAGATGATGATGATGATGATGATGATTCTGAATTGCTTGCCTGCCTCGAAAAGGTGGGCAGAACTACAGGTATGCATTAATATTGACATATTTTTCAACAACAATAATTCCCGATGGTTCGGCCTGAAGCTTGCATTTGATCTAGAAATGTATTATTTTATATCCAGTCAACTCGGCAACAGAAAGTCGAAATTATGCAAAGTGTTATGACAATATCTTTAAGACTGAGAGTCCGGTGTTCATTGAAATGGATGGCCGCTAAAGCATGGCTATATCGACTGGCTGAGCTATATTTATGCTCATATGCATAACACATTTCCTGACAAAATAACAACACGCTTTACGCGCTTCTAATGATCACTTTTAATTGTTGCTTCTTTTATTTTAGGATCCGTGCCCTTGTCGCAGGATTCATATTTCAAACAGGATTTCGAGCATAACGATGAAATGCCACCACTGGAGCTGCTCAAGGATTTAAATATCAACGCACCCACCACTGGCTGCAGTGAGCCACCGCCGGCCTGGCTGCAGCCGCGTCAGTGCAAGAAAAGTATTTTTACCGCTCTACCCACCTATGTAAATCACCAGTGTGAGGTATACCTGAGCCTGGCCACCGATGAGTCGTTTATACATCATATGCGCAATTTGCTGGTGAAGCATTTTAAGCCCCTGCTGGAGAAACAGGAGCCCAGCATCTATGTAGTGGGTCAGCCCGTTGTAGTCATCTACCATTTGGACAATCTCTTCTATCGCGGCATTGTCCAGAGCAAGCTGAGTCCCAAGGGTGAGCACAAGGTGTACTATGTGGACTATGGTAATGAGGAGAAGGTAAAGCCGACCCAGATGCTACCCTATGCGCCGTTCCCACAGCTAAATTCCCTGTGCTGGCGCGTGGGAATCCACGGTGTGCAGCCCAAGCAGAAAAATTACTCATTGACGACAATGGACACTGTGCATCAGACTGTGGTGATGAAGCTGAGCAGCGTGCGCGTGGTGGAGACTCAAGGGGTCAACGGGCTGCCGCAATGCCAACTCAAGGTGGGCGACATGGATATAGCCACCATGATGTTGAACAACGAAATGGCGGTACGCGTGCCACCCCAGAGTGATCATGAAATTAAACAGAAGCGCGCAGAGATCCTTAATATCTTCAAGGTGTTCGATGAGCTGAAGCAGTTGAGCGAGTTCCAGCCGCCGATAATGGGCAGACAAGCCAATACAACTGCCCAACCGCCGCCGACTAAAAAAAAGTACCTGATGGACAGCAGAGAGATGCAGCAGATGCAGCGTTTGGATTGCCAAAACGATTTCGATTGCAAGGAGGCGGCCAAACAAAAGCTCCAAACGAGCGTCGATTTTGAGAAAGGGGACAGCGATGCAGATGATTCGGAAGAAAGAAATTCAACCGAGGGCTTTTCGGATGACTACGTCGACGAGGAGATCGATGAAGGTATTTCCAATGATGATAACGATGAAAACACAGCTAGTCCCGTAACAGAGCAGGCTAGCTTTATACCACCGCAGGGCATATCTGCCATGGATCAAATGCGTCGTCGCATTCAACTGCGCTATAAGGTATTTTTGATGCTGATTCCTTATACCGTAATCTGATGGTAAAACACGTTTTGTTTATTTAGCAGGAAAGGTTGGAGAGCGCACATTTCTCGCCAATGGACACTTCCACGGAGCGTTCCTATCACGACGGCGACGGCTGCTTTAAGCCACAATGTCTGCCCACGGGCGTCGATCAATTTACGTGCAGCATTGACAAAGTGTTGTCTGCCACAGAGCTGCAGATAACGCCACAGCTGACCGAATTTGCCAAGCAGCAAATTGTTTTGGCCCAGGAGACGAGCGCATTGATCAGGGAAGCTGCCCAGCTGAATCCAGTGCAGTTAAATACATTGTGTTTGGCCCGCTATAGTCGTGATAGTCAATGGTATCGCGCCGTTATCAAGGAGCTGCATCAAGCTGCCAATCAGGCGACTGTTTACTATATCGATTTCCATGACACCGAAATGTTGCCCTTTAACGATCTAAAGGTAATGCCCAAGCAGCTGTTTATGTTCCCGCTGCGATCATGCCGTGTCAAACTCTATGGCATCAAATTGAACAGAAACTTTGCGGACACATCCGTGCGTCAGGCACTCCAAGCGTGTCTATGTAAATATCCCTCGGTGTTTGCACGGGTTCACTATCCGATGAATTACAATGACAACAGTGACGATTTCGATGATTCGGATCCGGGTTCGTCCAGTGACTCCATCAGTCAAGGCTTTAAGCTTTACGAGGTCGATGTCTATGAGAATAAATACAAAACCGATCTGCTATATAAACCCTTAATTGACAGTCGAATGCTCGTATTGAAATAGTTATAAAATGACATGTTAATTAAATGTTCTCAATCAGAAGTAGCCAAAAAAAGATGCAACTACCAATTATTTAAAACATTGATCTAATTACATATTTGAATATGTACTTTAGTTTTATTTTTCTGCATATTTTAATATGTATTTTCTAATACATATTCTAATCTATCTATTTGATTTTTCGTTTTCAATAAATTCCTCAACTATTAAAGAAAAGATGACTTGCTATGCATTCTTTGTTTGGAGATGGTGAAAAACTAATAACAACTTTTTGTTTTAAATTTTATTGTTATTTAAAGTTTCCAAAAATGCGCTATAATTGGAATATTTCAAATAAATAAAATTATATTGTTGAATAATATGCCTCTTTTTCGTTTCGAATGTTTCCTATTGATTGGCATTCAAAAATTCTCGCTTTGAAATCCAAACATTTAGTTTGATTACAATCTGTTCTATGGAGCTTTACACGTTCATATTACGACCATTTAAAGTATATTTGAAATACCTGATATAGGATTGATATACCCAACCAAAAACATTTATTTACGATATTTATAATTATCCATAAATTGCATTTATTTCCTCCACAAAACGAATTTTATTTTGTATTTGTTTATGTTTTGTTGTTTTCATTGATTCTCGTTGAAATTTGTATGTAAGTTGTAAATATTTGAAAATTGTTTTGTTTTTCGTTTGTTTTTTTTGTTTGTTGTTTGTTTTTGTTTTTCATATTATAAGGTAATGTATTTAATTAATTCTCATAATGCTTATGCTGTGTTGTGTGTTCACTTATAAACTAGAAATTTTAACTAATCGCTTCATAATCGAAACCATCGCAAACAATTATTAAAAATAGCCTAGAGAAGTTGCAACTACTACAAAATCAAATATATATATATACATATATATATATATATACATATATATATATATATATTCTAGAAACATCGAGATGGTAATTACGTTTAGGTATATTCATTCAATATGACAGTTGTGTTCGTTTACTTTCGATCTCTGGTAGACAATTTTGTCTGTTTGGTTTAAAATATACGAAAAAATTATATAACATTTTCGAAAACGGTCTCCTGCAAATTGGTTGTGTACTATATATGTGTTAAGGGGTGTGTGTGTGTATTTGTGTGGCTTAGAATGTGCTCAAGCTTCGAAAACTCAAAAGAATAATGTTTTCATATAAAATTTAACCAATTGCAGCTAACTTAAATTAACTAGATGTTTGTTGCCGTTTACAAACGAGTTAAACATAAAAATATATGTATATGTATATGTATATATATACATATAAAGATAAGATAAGTAAATACAAATGATTAAAATTAATTGTGTTATTTAACTAAAATTGAGATGTTTTAAAATTAGGGCGTAAAATTAAATGATGATAATAATGAATATTGCACTGAACTAGGCATGTCATTTCACTAATTGTAATTATGTTTATAACTAAACAAAAATTAAAGCAATTTGTTTTAAAATATTTGTGTTTAACGTGTGTGTGTGTATATATATATGTGCGTGTGGGTGTTTGTGTGTGGTGGAAAGGAGCTGAGGGTGGGATCAAAGGGGGTGTTAACACTTTCACATTTAGCTAAGTCTCTTAAACCACATTCAAATGTACGATTAGTAAAATGTTATTAATATTATATAATGATAAATTGATTTCATCTTTGTTTTTGTTTATCAAGAATTGGCATTCGCATATGTATACAATACGTATATGTATGTATATATATAGTTTCAATAGGTAATACTAGTTTGTTTTTGTTAACACACACGTACAACATACACACACCCACATACATGCACAGAGAAGAGCCATGAACAGCTAGCTAATTAATGAATTTAACTTTAGATAAGTCGATTAGTCGTTAGTATATTGATTTAAACCTCGACGGTAAAAGGATCCCGCGAATGATGTATCTTCAGATGCTTATTGTGATTGGTCTTTGTCGTCGAGCTCTTGCCGCAGATGGTGCAATGGAAGGGACGCTCTCCAGTGTGGATGCGCCGATGCTCGATCAGATAATAATGACGATGAAAAGACTTGTCGCACTGGTCGCAGGTGAACTTCTTGTTGCCATGATGCTCCCGTCGATGCCGCATATAATTGTATTTACGTATGAACTTGCAGCCGCAATACTCACAGGTGTAGGGCTTGATCTGCTTATGGGCATTCATGTGGTTCTTGAAGTCCAGCTCGCGAACGAACGCCTTGGGGCAGTATTCGCACTTGAACGGTTTGGCCGTGCGATTCGCATGCACCCACGAATGTATCTTCAGATTCCATTTGGTTGAGAAGCTCTTGTTGCATATGGCGCAATCGTATTGCGGATCCGTCGAATGTGTAGCCATGTGCGCTTTGATGGAGGTCTTGGCAAAGATCTGCTTGCACATGGGACACTCCATCGGCTCGGCATAATCAAACTTATCCGAATGGGCCAGTCGAATGTGCCTACGCAGCGAATTGGCATGTACGAAACGATCGCAGCAATACGGACAGCACTTGGGCTTCAAGTCGTGGGTCTCCTTGTGCCACAGGAAGCGCGCCTTGGACGGCAACACCTCGCCACAATGGCACACGTACTCCTTCTTGCGCACCATCATTTTGGTGTGACGCTTGCGATGCTGTGTCAAGTTCGAATAGCGCTTGAACTTTTTGCCTAAGAACAAGAAGAAGGGATGCTTAACTAATTATCCCTGATTGATATTTACTTTCAACAACTTACCGCATATCTTGCACTTGAGCGGCGTCTGGCCCGTGTGCATGCGCATGTGTTCCACTAGCGCGCTGCGCACCACAAACTTCTTGTCGCAGACATAACAGCCGAACTCCTTCCAGCCCAGATGCCTTTTCAAATGCAGTGAAAAGTTCTTCCAGCGATAGAATTTCTTGCCACAGGTGAAACATTCAGCGGGATGCTCTGTCAAATGTGCATCGTACAGCTTTACTGAGGGGAAATCGGTGCGGCACACATAACAGAGGAATATAGATTTCTCCATGGCCTTTTGCTCCAGCTCGCTGAGATTGTTGCGCTCCTGGCCTAGCTTTGACTCATTGTAGGCAATGAGCATGCGATAAAGAGCAGCTAGCTTGGCAGCTGGTGTGGTCATGGCTAACGGCGCTATGGCTGGCTTCTCGTCCAGCTCTGAGACGTTGGCTGGTGGCTTCATGTCCGCATCGCGACCATTATCAGCGCTGGCATCTAGCAGGTCAGCATCCTTGACGTCAGGCATATCCATTTGGCCAAGCAGCTGCTCCGATGAATCCTGTTTATCTTGGCAGTGTTCCTGCTTGATTTTTACAATACCATCCTTTGAATCCTCATGCACAACATCGCCATTGCTTTGCCCCACAGACTGCAGCAGGACTTGCTGCTGGAGCTGCTGTTGCTGCTCTTGAGCCGGCGGCTGTGCTAGCATTGTGGCATCGACCTGCGGCTGCGTGCAGATGAGTCGTCGATTCTGGCGCACATAGTTGTGTTCGCCAATCATGTGCGCATTGCGCTCCTTCAGCTTCTCAAAGATGACCACACAGTGCGGACACTTGTAGATCTTGCGACGCGGTGGCTTTCGTTGCGCCATCGCTGCAGCGACGGCCTCCGCTTCGGCAGCAGCCCGTGACGTCGAGGCTATTGGTGGACCAGCCAGCAAAGCCGATGACGACGAGGAAGCAGTGGGCTGTGCATCCAACAAATGATTGTGTCTGTTTGAGCTCGGGGAAGCGTCCAGCTCGCCCGATTGCGCGTACTCCGAGGCGACAGCGTTGAAATCAAAGCTGGAAAGTGGACAGAAAAGATTTTCAACAAATATAAAACTGTCCTGGCGTAGCCAAATACCCACCGCTTTGGCTCACGCTGCTGCTGTTGGCCACTGAGGTCCTGCGGCGGATAGGAATCGTGACGCCAATCAGCCAGCTGCTGATGATAGCCATCCGTAAACTGATTTCTAAAATAGCGCTGTGATATGTCACCATACATCTGCAAAAGATACGAGTAGTTCGTTAATGATAAGAGCACAGGGCTATGCTTGGATGCGGTGTGCCTACCGATTGACTCCAGGAGTTCTCAATATCGCAGTTGCTTTCCTGCTCGGAGATTTCACCCTTGGCGGGCATTTTCTCATCGGTGCGTATGTTAAGGCCCAAGCCGCTTACTAGACTGCTCTCCGTGGCGGCGGCCGCAAATGATGAGGATGTTGTCGATGCGGATGCGGATACGGAAGGCAAATGGCTGCTGCTGTTGCTTAACTGTTCCCGCTTGCAAGTATCCAGATCCAAATACTTAACATCGCTATCAACGCCCGCCACACTGTTGCAGCAGTCAACGGCTGCGAGTGCGGCAATAAAATGGCTCGACTGTTCCACATGGCAGCTGTGCGAACTGCTTGCCTGTAGCTGCTGCTGCTGCTGCGGCTGATACCAGCCAGCCAATGTGGATTGTTGCTTGCCCAAGCGAAACGTGGCATTCATGGAGCAATCCTGATCCATAACCGATGAATTGCTAGAGGAGGAGGCCAGCGTGGCGGCATTAGTGGCCTCGCTAGAGCCATGCTGTGGATGATGCTGCAATACCTGCTCCTGCTGCTCTTGCTCTTGATGTATGCCAAATTCTGCAAAGTGGGAAGCTGCCGCCGCACTTGCAGCTGCCGCTGCAGCTGCCGCTGCCGCTGTTGTTGCGGTTGCATTTTGATGGTAAAGAAAATTGAAATCTGTGAAGGCGGACGGCTGCTGCGACTGCTGCATGCTTTGCTGCGCTGGTTGCGACTGCGACTGCGACTGGCGCTGCAACTGCTGCAATTGTTGCTGCTGCGAATTAGAGGCATAGGATGACGAGGAGGATATCACAATTTCATCCACCTCCAGATTGTTATCATCAGGCAGAATGTACTCGTCGCCCGGCTTGCTTGACTTCTTCGCACTGCCGCTGCTGCCGCTGGCAAATACGGAGCCCGCCGAGGCAAAGCTGGCCGCATTTACCACAAACGTGGTCTGGTTGCTATTACCCGCTAGCGGCAGTTGCTTCGAATTGGCAAACTCCAGCAGCACGCGAGCATCATCATCATTGACTGCAGAGTGTTTGCGCGCCTGCTGCTGTGCCGCATAGCTGGTGGTCAGATGCTTCTCTAGTATGCTGCCGCTTGTTGTTGCGGCTGCCTCCACATTCTCGCTCTTCACCTGCACCAGCTCTGTGGACGCCTTTGATATGCTGGCTGTTTCGGCAGCGTTGTTCTCAGTCTTTTTTGTCGTTGCCGTCGCTGTGGCCTTTGGCTTGATGACTAATTTCTTGGGTCCACGCTGCTGCGCTGGAGCTGAAAAGCGTTGCGGCAGCAGCATCGTTGGCTCCACTTCCACTTTCATTGGCGGCGGCTGTGTGAGATCCTCGTTAGCAACGTTTGTGCCGCTGCCGCTGCTGGTGCTGGTGCTAGTGCTGGCTGCCATGCGTATGACGCTTGTGGTGCCGTGGCCACTGCTGCTGCTGTTGCTGCTGCTGCCACTGGCATGTTCAACGCTGGGCTTTTGCTCCACTGCAGCCTGCTCCACTGCAGCCTGTACGGTGTCGTAGTCGTCCATTGGCTCCTCCTTTTCCACCTTGACCAACGGTATGGGCGCCACGGCAGCAAACGGACGTGCTGCACCAATGCGCCCTGATGCCACAATGTTGCCCACCAGATCCAAATACTCGTTCATGTTGAGCGGCACATCGCTGAGCACCGTCACGCGATTCTTTTTGGACTTTGTGGAGCCGCTAGGCGTCGAATTGGCACTGCCAGAAGAGGTGGGGGAGGGGGACGCGTTGGCAACAGCACCAGCAGCTGCTCCACTGCTCGTCGAAGGCGCCGTGCTTAGTTGAGCTGGCGAAGAGGACGCAAGCGAAAGCTGCACCAGAATCTGCTGCTGCTCTGCATGATGTTCACTTTCTGCACAGCTGCTGCCTAGACTCATAAAGTCGTCCTCATCTTCCGGCTGATGCTTGGTGGCGCGTTTGTGCTTTCTTCCATTTGCTTTTGTCTTGCGTGACTTTTTCGTTGTGGTCTTGGGTGCAACTCGGCTGCGGCTATCCTCGTGCTCGTCGTCACCATCCTCTACATGATCTTCCACCTTCATGTGATCCTCATCATCGCTGTTCCAGCTAAAAACAGAAATTCACACTTTAATAGCAGCTCTGAAGGTATCCCGCATAGACACGCATAGACAATAGTAAGAGTGATGACATTTTAAAATGGTTTGGTTCGAATGTTTTCTTTTGAATAGTCCTTTTGATAAACTAAATGAAACTTGTTTCCCGATGCATTGCCTTAAGGCAAGAGTAAGAAGTGTAGTCAATGCCTTACCCCTTGTCATCCTCGTCCTCCTCCTCGTCGTCGTCATCGTCGTGTATGTGCAGCACGCTGGGTGGCGACTGATAGATGCGCTCAATCACGGAGAACTCGCCGTCATCCTTCTCGACGCACTCGACAATGTGCTTGGGCGTCTCCTGGACTATAAAGTCGCCATTCTCTCGCTCTAGATAGTGGGCCACTGGTGACTCGGCATAGCGCAGCACAGACGCACTGGAGGTAACGGGCGAGGCGCAGGCGGCCTGCGCTGCGGCATTTAAGAGCGCACCAAAAGGCGAATTGCTCGTTTGGCGACAGTTGCTGGCGCGTCCGACGGAGGTGGATGACATCAAAGTCGCAGAGGAGCTGGCGCAGTTGGCACCTGCATAGCTGCCGGCTGCAAGAGATTGTTGGTGCTGTTGCGCATGTTGCAGTCTTGACAATGACGACGACGACGACGACGACGACGACGACGACGTTGACGGAATCGTGATCTGTGGCGCTGGTGGAGGCGGTGGATTCAAGAAGATATCCGTGTGGACTTTGCCATGTTTGCCACTCGGTGGTGCAAGGTTAACGCTGTGTTGTATGCTTATGTGTTGTTGTTGTTGTGTCTGTTGCTGTTGTTGTTGTTGTTTGTTTTGGTTGTGCTGAGATCGAATTTGACTGATGGCGGCGCCATAGGCGGGTGGTGGCTTCTGATGCGACTGCGTTGACGTCGCCTGCTGCGCAAAGAGCTGCACGAGACAATTCAAAGTATTAAACTACGTTCATTGGCATGCAAATCCCATGGTGGGTCACTTACCTGCAGTGGCGGCGGCGGCGGTGGAAGCGCTGCTGCATAGGTGTACTTCATGGCCGACTGCTGTTGTTGCTGCTGCTGCTGGTGGGCAAAGTGCTGTTGGTTGGCCAGATACTGATGCTGCTGTTGTGGCGCTTGCGGTATTAACAGCGTGGTGGCACCACGTGCAAACCCGTGCAGCGTCGCCTGCTGGTGCTGCGGCTGTTGCGGCTGCTGCTCATAGCGATAGTCGGAGTAAATGGCGCTCGTGCTGCTAGTGGTGGGTGCATTGGATGTGTTGGCTGGCGCCTCAGTCGTGGGTGGCGCGCTTTTAACTGCCTTAATCGGTGGATTGCTCAATTTGTTGCTATTGTTGTTGCTGCTGCTAGGCAAGGCAGCTTTGGGTGCTGTTGATTTAGATGCTGTTGATGTTGTTGGTGCAGGAACTACATCTAGCACAACTGGTTTCACATCAGCCGCCGTCGTCGTTGATGATGATGATGACGATGATGATGATGAGGATGAGCTAGATGCAGTGCCGCCATCTATTGCCGTGCCGCTCCCGGAGAGCACAGCTGCAGCCAAGGCGCTGCCCATGCCATTGTTGCCAGCTATGGTCATTTGCACCAGAGCCTTGATGACCTGCTCCTTGGGATGTGTCTCCAAATGATCGGAGAGATTCATGCCCGCATGCAGATACAGCGTGCACACGGGGCACTGCACACAGTCCACCATGATGGCGATTTTCTGCTAACTCGCCCGCTGGTTAATCAAACTACGTACAGCTGCTGCACACTCTGACGCTCTCTCACTCTCTCTCTCGCGCTCTCTCTCGCTCTCACGATATCAGTTTAGAGTCATAAAACGGTGACTTTTGCTGCTGTTTTTCGTGTGGCGGCCATTTTGCTCAATCCTTGAGCGGCGCTGCAAGGGAACAGAAAAAATAGTTGTACGTGGTTCCCAGATATATAATACACACACATACATAGATATATTTCTGTGCTGAAAAACGAAACTCGATAATAATTCCCGTAAGCTGATACCGATATCCAACTGATATGGCAACGCAAAGAATGCGCTGCACAGCTCAAGCCCCGGATCGTTCCGACCTAATCTGCGGAAACGTGCAATATATTTTTGCACTGGCAAGCAAGAGCGAAAGCTTTCGCAATGGCTGAGAGAGATAGAGCACAGCATAAAAAAGTCAATGCCAAGTGAGAAAAACGGCTAAACAAAGGACGTATGCGGCAGGCAGTGAAATCAAAACAACAAATAAACAGCAATATGTATACAAATGCACATGTATTTTAGTACCCATTATGCAGCTAAGCAAGCATGTATGCGTGTGCATGGGAACGGGGAACGCGAAACGGGGGGCAACAACAGCATCGGTTAAAGCTTCATCCGCCTTTGAACTGCTTGCTGCTGCTGTTGCAGTAGAGGAAAGGAGCGCAAAGTGCAAATGGAATGGAATGGAATGCCCAGTTGGGCCAACAACAACTTTTGGAACAGCTTTTTCTGTGCATTCAACTTGTGTTATACGCAACACTACGAGGACGATGAACACACGGCAACATCGCGATAATGATGAGTTATTTGCTGGGCATGAGCAATAATTGCAATGAATCAGCGAATACTGTGACTTCAGCATGAACAAAATATCGGTGAATGTGATTTTCAAATGATTTATGCTTGCAATTGAGAATCATGAATTCGCAATCAATAAGTCATGAAATACGCATGCAAATATATAATCAATTCATTTTTGCATAAATCGAATTTGTTGTCAGTATATGGACAGAGATTTTGAAATAATCAAGAGGATTATTAATTCAAACGATTAAAACCAGCTCAAACATTTCTATACAATGTTTAAAATCAAATTCTCAAAGCGAGTTATGTGGGTGGTATTCGCTTATCAATATTATTGTTATAAATCGAGGCATATATGCATATGTAAACATATGCATTGCTTAGTTGCAGCCTTACAAAATGAGGAAAAATTGTATTTCACATTTTTTAAACACCGTACACACATAAATCCCATTTGTGCAAAAATTCCAGCTGTCACAATAAACAGCTGCTCAGTATAAACAAAACTAATTTTCTGGCATGCTTTACAAAGCACAAATGATTTTTCATTGTGTATAAGCTCGTTATCGATCAATTTGTGTTAATTAACTATTTTTAATGCTGGGATATTTATTTGAATGTAAAAATTTCCTACTCTGATCTAGATTCCCACTGAGAATATCGATATTCGTCACAAGTACTCAATTCTACATATACAGGCATGTGTGTGTGTATCAAGTGCGCTCTAGCGATGCATTGTTGTAGAACACTGGCAATGCTGCTGGAAATGGTCAGCTTTTTTGCGTAGTTTTTTTATGCACATCCACAACGACAAATTGTTGTGTTTTATTTTTGCTAATATTTTTGTTGTATCTGCTATATTGGTACAAAGCGTATAAGGGTTGTGTAGTGCTGGGGCCGCACAAAAATAAAAGCAGCAGCAATGTCTACGTCTGTTGCTATTGATTTTTCCTTCGAGAGAAGCTTACAATGCAAAACGATGAACAAGTCGCATAAAAATCAAAAGTGCGTGAGTGAGCACATAACATCGATACTTCTGATGAGTACATACATTACAAAATAAAAAAAAAAACTCGAGCAATAATTGCCACCTTCTTTCTACCTACCTTCGCTGCTGCTGGAGCTGCTTTGCAGATGTGTGTGTGTCAGTATGATCTTGCGTAGGACTGCGAACTGCGGGTTGCGGGCAGCTACGCCAGTGTTGTCTTCTGTTGGGTTGATTTTCCACACACGCACAACGCACTATCGTTGGCTACACTTGCTTGCACACATACACACACACACGCACACGTACGAAAGGTAGACACAATTTCAGAGTATTTCCGCTTTGTATTTCTTTAATTTTCTCGGTTCTCTTTTGAATTCATTCAAGGAGAGATGTTAGACACACACACACCCGCACTTGACGCTTTTGTACACATCGAGAACAATGTTTAATGAGCACTAATTTTAAATGAATTTCAATTGCATTTGTATGATATATGCGTTCAATAAAAACTTTTATAAACAGGCGGCGTCAATATCGATCGTAATGTGTGTATGTTTGTGTGTTTGTTGAGGGCAAGGGCAAGTTTTCTTCGATGAACGCAAGGGGATGGGGCAGTAGTATCCTTGAAGAGTTGGGCACCTGCAGCTGTTATTATATATGTATTATTGTATGTAATTGCCTAGTTGCGGTCTGCGGCTCTTTGGTCTTGGTCTGGTCGTCGCCTCTTCGCCTCGTTCAATGACACAGAAATCTTTCTTCTCGTCTTTTGCTTTGTGCGCTCCTTCTTCAATATACAACTGAGCTTTTATATATATGCTGCGAATGCGAGTGCGAGGCCATTGCTGCGTTTATCTCCATGTGTGTGCGTGTGTGTGCTACACACAAAGTAAATTTTCAATCACGTATTTCATGCACTTTGTATAGATTTTCTTAGGGGCATTTATGCAAAACTGATGCACGCCTTTATTAGCTACAATTTGGTGATATTTGTAGTGATTTAAATTCACTTTGCACTATTTAATAGCCGTCATTTCGATTTCACCTTGCGACAAAATGAAAAATTACAACACCAGGCGTTAGAGTGTTGTAAAACTTATGATGGCATCGTTTCAGCATTTGCCAACACTTTGGCTCACGGAGCAACTCTGTGTGGCTGCATCATAGGGAAATTTTGATGCCGACTGTGGCGACTCGCATTTGGAATAGATTTAACTATTTAATTGTTTAAACCAGCGAAAGACAAATAACTAATAACAAAATGGCAGATAAAGCACAAGAGCAAAGTATTATGGACAAATCCATGAGGTCCGTGTTCGTGGGAAACATACCCTACGAAGCCACTGAGGAGAAGCTTAAGGAAATTTTCAGTGAAGTCGGCCCGGTTCTATCGCTAAAGTAAGTCCATCGGCACTTGTGGGCCATGTGGATAATATGTAATGTCTCACTGTGTGCCTTTTATAGACTCGTGTTTGATCGCGAGAGCGGCAAACCCAAGGGCTTTGGATTCTGTGAATATAAGGATCAGGAGACTGCGCTGAGTGCTATGCGCAATCTCAATGGCTATGAAATTGGCGGGCGAACTCTGCGTGTCGACAATGCATGTACAGAGAAATCGCGCATGGAGATGCAACAGTTGCTCCAGGGGCCGCAGGTGGAGAATCCGTATGGCGAACCCTGCGACCCGGATGATGCTCCCGAGCTAATTACCAAAACAGTTGCGTCCCTGCCGCCGGAGCAGATGTATGAGCTTATGAAGCAAATGAAACTGTGCATTGTGAGCAATCCGTCAGAGGCTCGGCAAATGCTCATGCTGAACCCGCAATTGGCCTATGCGCTGCTGCAAGCCATGGTGGTAATGCGAATCGTTGATCCGCAGCAGGCGCTAGGCATGCTATTTAAGGCCAACCAAATGCCGCCTGTTTTGGGTGGTAATCCGCATGCCAATTCTGTAGCCATGCCCATGGGGTCAGCGCCGCAGCAGCAGCAGCAACCCCCGCCTCAACAGCAGCCTCCCACACAGTCGGCTGTTGGGGGCGCTGGACCGATGCAGCCCATGCCCGTGCCCGGGCCTAACTTTAATAATATGCATTCGAATGACATTGATTTGCGCATGGTGCCCGGTGGGCCGGTCAACATGGATCCGCGTATGATTGCGCGCAATATGGACCAGGACATGCGACAGGTGCCTGGTCCTTTGCCCAATCCAGTGCCACCGCCACTTATGGATCCACGCACTCGTGCCCAAATGCAACCACAGCCACAACAGGGACCGCCTGCCGCACCCATTCCATACCCAAGCGATCCGCGACAACGTCCAATGGATCCGCGTCTCCGTGGCGCCATGCCGCCCGTTCCAGTTCAGCAGCAGCAGCCGCCTCCACAGGTGCAGCCTGTGACGCAGCAGCAGCAGTCGGCGGCACTGCAGCTGCAAAGTCGTCTGGGCGCACACGGCGTTTTGCCGTCGGATGCGTCTGACCAGGAGAAGGCCGCCTTGATTATGCAGGTGCTGCAACTATCTGACGATCAAATTGCCCAGCTGCCACCTGAGCAACGTGCCAGCATTCTGGTGCTCAAGGAGCAGATAGCAAAGACCAGAACTGCACGCTAAATAAATAAATCTCGAGTTTAAATCTATAATATTTGAATTGGAAACTTATAATTAAAGATTAATAAAGAGGATTCAAATGCAGCTTGAAATTGGGTTGAGTTCGCAACATCAATAAGCAGACACCAGTGTTTGGTGTAGCTTTTGCACGGTGGTATTTAGCATTTGCCTCAGCACCTCATCCTCGGCACATTGCACCGTCTGTAATAGGTGAGAGTGTGAGATAGTACGAATAGCAGCACAGATTCCCAGCTCTGAACAATGCTTACCAATGTATCAAGATTAATTTCAGCATGCTTGCCACTGACTATTACCGGCAGCAGATCACCCTTGAACATCTTGGGCACACAGCTGTCGCCGAAGGTGTCCTGCAGCGTCTCAATGAGGCATTCGCGGAAACGAGATTCCTCTGATTTGGTTTGCTTGGTGGCACCCTTGATATTTGTGCCGCCCAGCTCGGACTGCATGAGGCAGGCTAGCACTGCATCCGCATAGACATCGTTCACATGCGTTGCATGCCATTCCATGACAATGATTTTCTGCTCCACAGTCAGTTCGACGCAATTGAAAACGCGCAGCTTGCGCTCCGGCTCGACAACCTCTACGCAACCAGCTCCAATACGATCCAGCAGGAGTTGAAGTGTGGCCAGGGAACTAGTCCAGGGAATCGATTGACGCTGCGTGACCACAGACATGCTCATGTCCGTGTACTCTAAATAAAGCGGAATTAGAGGAAGATAAGCACAAAGCAATTGCACGATCAATAGATAATACTTACTGCCAAGATCGGAGGGTGCCAGCAAATGGTACTTGAAATCGCGCTTGACCAGCACGCCAGAGAGTTTGCTGCCCACCTCCGGTTTCTTAGCCGCCAGATGGCCCATCACCTTGGCCGTTTTCTCACCACGGAAATAGAGATCGACGGCGTGCGTATTGCGGGGATTATAGAATTTTATGTCCGTACTGGCGTCTGCTTCATACTCACGCTGCAGCGCCAGCTTCAGGCGAGACATTTCATTTTGTTCGCCATGGACGAGCACCACGTGATTGGGTCGCAACATGCGTATAAATTCGCTAGTCTGTTGGTAATCTGTGTGCGCCGAGAAAGATATGTAGTCAACGGACATGTTTAGCGGCAGTTTTTGGCCAGAAAGCGTTGTTATCTCCTCCGGCTCGGACAATATGGTCTTGGCCAGTGTGCCCTCCACACAGTAACCGGCTATAATGACGCCATTCTTGGGATCTGTGCACCAGCTCTCGAAGAGCTCGCGCGAAAGGCCCGACTGCATCATACCCGGCGAGGCCATGATCACACAAGGTCCAATATCATCAAAGTGATCGATGCCCTTCAGGTTGGAAATGTGACGAAAGACAAATGGATTGTTCACGGCAATCTGGCGACGTATGCGATCGTTCATGGCATTGATATATGTCTGGTAGACGGCCATGCACTTTTTGGCCAGCGAGGAGGCATAGTAGATGGGTATCTCGTGCAAATCGGGATTCTGTGACCAGAACTCATCCAATATCAACAGCAGCTCCTGAGCTCGACCCAAGGCAAACACCGGAATGAGGCAGCGGCCGCCCTGCATCACAATTTTCTGCACCAGCGATGTGAAGCGACTCTCACGATCTTCGCGCTTTTCGTGTATGTGTGTGCCGTAGGTAGATTCGGTAATCAGCACATCAGGTTTCTTGGGCGGCACCTCGGCGGCCATCAAATGACGATCCTCCTGTCGTGAAAAGTCGCCCGTATACAGAATTTTAATGCCTGCGATTTCAATCATAAACATAGCTGCGCCGAGCACATGACCAGCGTTATAAGCGCAAAAGCGCACGCCCATGACATCGCGCTCCTCGTGAAAATTGATTGTCTCGATTTTCTCCATGGAAGCCTCCAGATCAGCTTCCGTATAGAGCATTTGCTCTGTGGATATATTGCTGATTTTAATGTAATCTGAGAGCATCCATCGGTAAATAGCTTTGGTGGCGTGTGTCATAAAGCAGCGTCCACGAAAGCTGGTCTTCATGAGGAACCAGGGCAGAGCGCCGCAGTGATCCAAGTGGAAACTAAAACAACAAGAGTCCAAATATATTTTATGCTGGCCAAAACAAACGCAAGTCACTACGCACTGTGATATAAACAGCAAATCAATTTCGTCAGCTTCTATCAAGTCCACATAGGGCAGCGCATCCATGCCGGACAGACCTGGATGTATGCCACAGTCCAGCATTATCTTTTTGCCCTTGAACTCCAGCATGATGCAGGAGCGCCCCACTTCCTGACCAGCTCCGCTGCAAGAGAACATTTTATGTCGTCGGGCATTTAAAACAGCTGTTGGCTACTTACAGTGGCTTAATTTGCAGCAGGTCGCTCTCCTCATCAGGCACACGTGTGTCACTATTTGTTTGGGCCTGCGACATTGTGTTTTTATTTATCAAACTAAGGAGCTCATAAATTCACGTTTTGCCGGCAACAGAAACGCGTTCAATTAGTGAACATATGATGGGCATAGTAATCGATATTGAACTATCGATAACAATTTGGAAACACTCTAAAATACTTCACCATATGTGCTTCCAATGTTTTCTTTTTTATTTTATTTTCTCTCTTATAAACAAAAATATATTGTTTAATTAAACCAGTTTTTAGACCGTACAACAACAAACATTTAATGCAGCTCAAGGTATGCATTCCTTTAATTCGTGAATGAAAAATTCCATATGACTTGTTAATGCAGCCCTGGCATCAACTCTAGCTGTGTTTTATTGTTGTGCCTGCAAGTAAAAAGAATATTGTAATCAAATGCAAATGGTTGGCTCCAGCTATGACGGTAAATATTTGTATTAACATGTTTACACGCTCGCATCTGCTGATATCATCTATCGATATGCTATACGCCCAGTGCTACGCAAGCAGGCGCGCACCCTGGAAAATGAAATTGACCTCAAACTTGTGGCGTTCAGCAAAATTGGAGCTGGCAGCAGCGGCCTCAGCAGCAACAGCAGCGCTGCTGACACATCACCTCTGCTGGGCGAGCATGTATTCGACTCGCTGTCTGCCGAAATAGAGCAAATGCTCGAAAAGGTAAGTCGCAGCACAGTTTATCGAGCTTTGGCCTCTAACCCAAATTGTGTGCATCTGCAGTTGTCGACGCTCAATGAGTCCATGTCGGAGCTGCCGGCAACGGGTAGTGCGGCTATGCACACGCTGCAGCGGCACAGGGAAATACTCCAGGGCTACAGGCAGGAGTTCAACAAGATTTGCGCCAACCACACCATGCGCATCGAGCGAGAGGAGCTGCTACGCGGCTCTGGCCTAGCCACTAGTGGGAGTCCATCGATTTCTGGACTCAGTCGTCGTGAGATGTATATGAAGGAGAGCGGTCACTTGACCAGCTCCAGTAACATGGTCAACGATCAGATAAACATTGCCATCGAGACGCGAGACAACCTGCATGCACAGCGACAGGCCTTTAAGCGGCTGCAGACGCGGTTCAACGACATTTCCAATCGTTTTCCATTGATATCAAGGTGAGGAAATAAATGTGATAAAATTGTGTAGGGAACTAATTAAAGATTTTTGATATTCTCTTACAGTCTTATACAGCGCATTAATATCAAGAAACGACGAGATTCGCTTATTCTGGGCGCGGTCATAGGCTTCTGTGTCATCCTTTTGCTGATCTATGCTTTTAATTAGGTCTCGACACATTTCTGACAATTTTAATTATTTCTCTATATTTTCCCTTTTGGTATATGTATGTGTATAATAAACTTGTGATAGCAATAAAATTTAATATTTAAGTAGATGCAAGTCCATAAATAAACGAAATACTGTGAAACTCTATGTCGTGGGGAAATTCTTAAGGGGGGGAACAATACTACTTGTTACAATTTAAATAAAAGTTGACGAATCGTTAAATCGAGTACAATCGATAAGTGTGTTATCGAAATGGCTTGCTGACTCTGACAACTCTGGCGCAACAGCTGCTGCCTGTGATGTGATAACAATTCAGATTACATTCACACGCCTTACAAATTACTATTTTTTTAATTAAATACTGTATAAACAACTAATTATAAACTTAAAGGCAAACCATGTCGGTGATGCCCAACGTTGATCCCAAAGCCGGCGAGGCCGCCAAGCCGCGCGTCTTAGACCCCGCCGAGCTAGACAGAATGGCCATGCATTTTGTGGGCAACCTGAACAGGTATCGTGAGAATATTGTAATACCCAAAAGTAATGGGCCGGTCCAGATTAAAACCAACGAGGAGAAGCTCATTGAAACAGCTGTGGAAAGTTGCGCCTTTAAAAGCGCCATGGCCTGCGTTATGGGTAAGTCTTGACAAACATTTTGCTGCACAAACAATTTACATGTGTTCATGCTTGCAGGCTACGGATTGGGCGCTGCTTTGGGCCTGTTCAGCGCCTCCGTAAATCCAAATATGGCCGATCCATTCGCAAATGAAAAGAAACAGACGGCGCGCGAAGTATTCCGCGAGATGCGCTCCACAACGCATTCGTATGCCAAGAATTTTGCCCTCATTGGCGCTGTATTCTCCATTGTCGAATGCACCATAGAAAGTGTAAGTGATTGTGCCCATCAATTATCCCATTGCTCATCTAACTGACGTCTCTTTTGGGCAGAAACGCGGCGTCACCGACTGGCGCAACGGTACCTATGCGGGCGGCATTACGGGCGGCCTGATTGGCCTGCGTGCGGGCATTAAGGCCGGCGTCATTGGCGGCCTGGGCTTTGCGGCGTTCTCCTCGGCGATTGATTACTATATGCATATGAGATAGGTGCACTAAAAGTGTGTGTGTGTAGCTCGTATAAATGTTTGTTCTTAATTACAAATCTATTCGTTTTTATGCACGCTTCAAAGTTGCCGCTAAGGCAGGAGCACGCACCGGAAACGCTTGCAAAAGATCGTTTAACGAGCTAATCACGACGAGCATTTCCGTTGGCCATAACTGCATTTGGAGGCAGCAGCATAGAGACAGCTGCCACACATAAATATTAAGGCAATGGCATAATCAATGTGCCACAGTCTCAAATTCGGCCAACGACCGGTTTTGGGTGCTCGTCGATTGTGTCGAAAAGGCAGGGGGGCCAGGGCCAGGGGCAGGGGCAGAGCCAGTCGTATCCAGCTTGTGGGAACGGCCAGCGATATCCAGCTTAAGGCAGCATGGACAGAGAATGCCCGAGCTGCTGCTGCTGCTGCTGCTGCTGCTGCCTCAACGATTTCCAGTTTCAGTTGAATCTGAGCAACAGGCAGGTAACGATCGCAGTCGCTGCATTTTCGCTTTCGGTTTCTGTACGTGCGCGAGTTTGATTTAAGACCAGAACGAGGATGAACCTCGGCGGCAGCTGCAAAAGTGCAACAACAAAAGAAACGAAACGAAACGAGTTTCAGGTTGCAAGTTGAAAGGCGACGCGTGGAACGTTGTCTGCGGTTTCTAAGCGTCTGCACAACTAATATATTATAGTATGAAATAATTGAAATTTAAGAAAACACAAATATCGATGACTCAGCAGAGGGATCTGTTCCGTTCTGTTCCGTTGTGTTTTGTTTATGCAACTAATTGCCACACAGCAGCGTCCACAAACATTTATTTGTTTTTCTTATTTACTGTGGAGTTCACATTGCAGCCATTTGGTATTTGTTGTTGGCATCAATTTGCATGTTCTTCGAACAGCTCAATTTGCCTCATTGTATCACACACACACACACATACATACATACACACTGTAACATATGTATATGTACATAGTTACACGCACACATAGACGTTGGCGCAAAGTTCAATGAAACGTAGTGACACATGCTTGTTGCCTTTCCAATTGGCCCCGTCGAATCTAATTGGAACGGCCTGGTGGCAGCCGGCAGTCGGCATTTCTTTAATATTTCCTGTGCCTGCCATTGTTTTGTTTTTCAAACGGCAGAAATCGCAGCTGAGTCAACTGTGTTGAGACGCATATTTGTTGGCTTGGCACAATTTGTTATCTTATCATTGTCACTACATACATATGTATATAGGACTCTAGATTTCAAATTGGACTAAAGCAAAACAAAAACTCGCAGTTGCTGTCTTAGTCAGTGTGCAGCGTGCAGTTGGCATTGGGCGCATCAATATAAACGACCTTGCAACAGAACAAAACAGTCTGCTCGTGACTCAATTGCAATTCACTTTTACTTGAGACACACTGTACTTACATTTAACGCGACTTAGTCGAGAACGAAAGTATGTGTTTGTTTGTGTGAGAGAGAGAGAGAGAGTGGTGGAGAATAAGAGAGTGCTGCTCTCAGCTGATATCTAATCAAAACAAATAATGCCTCAACCCACGGCCCGCGGCTTGAATCATTCACGTTAGTTCCAATTCGACTTCGAAAAGTGCTCGTGGGTAACTGTTCATTTCGCAGCGCAGCCGAATTTGAATAAGAAACTCAACTGCATTTCGGAGCAGTGCATGTAATTAAATACTTAAAGTGTTTTGTGCATTCGATTGCAATTGATCAAATAAAAATCAACACAGACATCAAAAATATTAATTTCAATATAAAACTACGTGTACAGCATGAAGTGCAAGCTTTTGCTGCTGGTGAGTGGAAAAAAATATAATCTATCTAGCTACAAATTTCGAACTGTTTTCTTATCTTATCTGAATTTGTTTTCGCTGGGGTCAGCTATGAAGCACCTAAATATACAGTTAACATTGTGTGCATTATAGAGATATATACATACATATATATATATATATGTATATATATATATAAATTATTCTTTTTCTGTTTAGGGAAACCTTTTTATTGTAGAACTATTTCGAAAAGGAAATTAAAAAAATTTGTTCGGAATTTCTTGGGACATAAGCTCATATGAAATTCAACAAAGTTTTAGTTTAATTATTATTTAACTATTTTTTATGAAGATGTATATATGTATGTGTATCCAAAAGTATGAAAGTAGAGCATTGATAACTTCCATCTATGTCGATAGATACGCATTATTATAAAATATAATGATATATATTTTCCGTGGACTTTCGAATTTTGAGTATAAATATACATTTTATGAATATAAGCAAATATAAAACAATTTTTAAATAAAAATAAAAAATTTCTAAAAGCCATTTTCAAAAGAGTTTTAAAAGTATTTTGTTCAAATTTTTCGTTGGAAATTAAAACAGAATAAAGAAATACGTTGGAAGTTCATAAAATTACGATGAAGTGTACGAATACGAATACGATCAAGAATTTATTTAAAATAAAAATTTTTATCTTATGAATATCAAAGTACGATATAGAAGTTCTTAAACATACGATAACGACTACGAATTCCAATACTATAAAGAATTTCTTAAAAATGTAAATATTAATTTCATGTAGAGATATCCCTTAAATGACTTCAATTGTAATTTCCAGATAAATCGAATAAATTTTAATCTTAAATAAAAAAGCAGAGTATCTTTAAGGCGATTACTGCCAGTGTCAAAGATAAGAGCTGAAATAAGTAAACTATTGAATAATAGGTATATTTTCAAGATTCTCATTGTCAGCTTTTTGGATTAAATAGTCGAGGATTGAATAGAAAACGATAAGAAATTGCCTATCAATAAATAACTGCTATTAAAATAAGAATAATCCATTTTTTATAATATATATTCTAAGCAATCCCATTTGATCCATTGCAGCTTCTCAGCATGGCAGCGCTGCTGCTGAGCCTGGGAGTTGCCCAGCACGAGGATATACCCTACCAGGCTGTGGCTAACATCTGCGAGACATGCACCTGCCTGAGCGCCCAGGACAACAACCATCGCCTGCACCAAACGCTCAATTGTGCGATGAAGAACTTCGCGCACATTCTGGCGCGCTGGCCACCGGAGTTTGGCAGCCAGCATGCGGGCATGGAGATTGTCGCCTCGTATTCGGGCAACAATATTCGGCTGCTGCAGCAGCTGCCGGCGACGAATGCAACGCTGACCTTTTCGTGCCGCCACTGTGGCATGCAGCAGCTGCAGGAGCCGCTCTTCATGGACGTGCCCAACGTGGAGGGTCTGTACCTCAGCTGGAACGAGATCGCAGATGATGCTCTGCACCCGGCACTGTTTCGCGGCCCCTTCAATGCGACCAGGTATGAGCCCATTGCACTGAAGGATCTTGATCTCAGCCACAATCGCATATCCCGCCTGGACCGCAAGCTCTTCGAGCACACGCCGCAGCTGCGCAAGCTGGCGCTGGCCTATAATCGACTCAGTGTGCTGGATGCGGCCACCACAGCCTCGCTGGCGTCGATCACAAATCTGGAGCGCTTGGATCTGTCGCACAACGGTCTGTTGACGCTGCCCGCCGAGCTTTTTTCACACCTCAACAATCTCTACCAGCTGGACATTTCTGGCAATGAGTTTGCTGTGGTGCCAGCCAGCATACAGCAGCTGGGCAAGAGTTTGCTGCACTTGAATCTGGCGGGCAATCCCCTGGCCAAAATTGATGCACACAGTTTCCAGCAGCTGGAGGCACTGCGTCGCCTGAACATCAGTGAAATAGTCATGCTGCGCACCATTGAGCTGGGCGCCTTGCAGCTGCCTGCCTTGGAGCAGCTGGACTGCGCACGCAATCCCAAACTGGAGCGCCTGGAGCTGTCGGATCTGCGGCATAGCCGCAATCTGACACAGCTGGACATCTCACAAAATGCCCTGACCACGCTCACGCTGAACGTGAGCGGCAACGCAACCAATGCCAGCTGGCCGCGCCTGCGCAGCCTGGCCATTGCCGGCAATCCCTGGTACTGCAGCTGCGAGCTGCTGCAGGCGCTGGAGCATGCCGGTGCGCCGCAGGTGCTGCTCCAGCCGGCCAGTGCTGTGGCCCGCTGCGATACGCCCTATCTGCTGGCCGGTCTGCCGCTGACCAATTTGACGGCGGAGCAAATCTGCAATATGGTCATACCCAAGAAGTATCGCGCCGTCGAGGATGATCCGCCACGATTTCTGCGTCGTCGCTACATCATTCTCACTGTCATCATTGCCAGCGTTGTGGTCGTCGCCGGCCTGATCATTGGCTTCATTGTGGTCTGCGTGCGACGCCGTCTCAAGGGCAACGACTACGGCGTTCAGCCCATACGCTACACCAGTGTGCGCGGCAGCAATCTGTCCGCCTTCTCGCAGCTCCAACCGGCTTCGGTTACCAGCAAATTTAACAATGCCGCCGCCAATACGGGCACCACAACGGGTGCACCCAATGCCTGAGCGGGCTCCTTGTTTTTTTTTTTGCGCCTGCTGCACGTACCATGAGCCAAAGATGTCCACGAAAGTGTTGCAGCCACTACAAAAACAAAGACTTTGCGTGCATGTTTATGCTGTATATATGCAGACATATATATACATACATATATACATATGTATATTTAAATCGAAACTCCCCTGGAGGAGTCCTGCCACCATATCCCTAGTGTCTAGTGTTGCCATCGCTGTTTGTATTGTACTTAAGTTTCGATAGGTTTTAATTACTGTGAAATAAAATGCATTTTTATAAACATTGCGGAGATATTTTTATTAAACAATACAGTGGTCCTTCGCTAATAAGAACTCCAACAAACGGGCTATCTAAAATATTCTTTTTTGAGTAATTTATTTACTTCTCTTACAAACGCCTTTGAAAATATTTTTATTTTTATGGTTTTATGTTTTTCAACAATTTTGAATATATATATTTTCAATATTGGGTCCATAGAAATCATAAAAATATAGTACAGTGGCTGCTCGCAAATTAAAACGCTTCTGTTTGATCGAGAAGTCCAACAAAAAGTCAAATATCTGAGATTTATTTCTCCATATAAAAAATAAACACAATTTAATGCATA